GGTGTTTCTTTGTTGGCAAATTATTAGGTCACTTATCAGAAGTTCACAATATTCTATTCAAAAAATATCAACCTAGCCCTGGCTGGTGTAGCTCAGTGGATTGAGTGCCAGCTTGCAAACCAAAGGGTCGCTGGTTCAATTTCTAGTTAGGGCACATGCCTGGGTTGCAGGTCAGGTCCCCAGTTGGGGACGTGCACAAGGCAACCACACATTAATGTTTTTCTCCCTCTATCCCTCCCTTCCTTTCTCTGGAAATAAATAAATAAAATCTTTAAAACATATATCAACCAAGTTACATACCTGGGTGATTCTACCAAAATTGGATTTCTTAATTTTAGTTACATTGTCTTTCTAGAACACAAGAACTTTCAGTAATAAATGTCTGACTTTAAAAACTATATCTATTGCATATCTTTGCACTGATTCTGAATAAAAACATACCCTGTTCTACTTAATTCAAACGTTCCACTTACTGCAAAAGTAGAAACCCTACCAGTGTAATTTATTATCAAATTTTTCTTTCTAGTTTGGTGTTTATTAGGTTTAAAATACTTTCTAAGATTGAGCGCAGGCTGCGAACCAGTGTCGCAGGTTCGATTCCCAATCAGGGTACATGCTTGGGTTGCAGGCCATGACCCCCAGCAACCACACATTGATGTTTTTTTCTCTCTCTCTCTTTCTCCCTCCCTTTCCTCTCTAAAAATAAATAAATAAAATCTTTAAAAAATACTTTTTAAACCTTTTGCAAATTTCCAAATGTATTATCTGTATTCAGAAGTACAGAGTACAATGACCCTATGTGTATCCATCCCCCAGTTTTATCAAGTTTCTGCCATACTTTAAAAATAATTTAATGTCTTGTTATTTCCCCCCTAAATATTACAGGATGCATCTTAAAAAATTAATAAATAAAAACTATGTTTTCTTAAGTAACCACAATATATTATCACATCTATCATGATTAACAATTCTTTAATCTCATCTGATACCCAGCCCATATTCAAATTTCCCTAATTGTCTAAAAGCATTCTTTATGTATTTCTGCAGTTAATTTGATCCAGATCTAAAATTTTCCTACTCACTGTATATCATTGATTTGTATCTTATATCTCTCTTGACCAGAAAAAAGTCTGCCCACGCTTTTTGTTTCACGCCTTTGTCTTGTAAAAGAAAGCTGGTCAGTTGTCCTGTAGTAGGCATGGGTTTGTTTGTTTTTTTCCTTTTTATTGAATTTTTTGGGGTGACACTGTTAACAAAATTATACAGGTTTCAGCTGTGCAATTCCACAGCACATCATCTGTACACTGTATTTTGTGTTCACCACCCCAAGTCAGGTCTTCCTCCATCACTATTTAGCCCCCCTCTGCCCTCCTCCACCTCCCTGTAATCCCCCTGCCTCTGGCAATCACCACACTGTTGTCCATGTCCACGACTTTTTTCTTTTTCATTTTGTTTTTAGGTCAATCTCTCCAACCCTCAACCCTCTACAGTTCTTGTAGACTAGAAGTTAGATCAAAGCCTTCTTTACACTCACATTTAGGATTTTTTTGGCAAGAATATTTCATGAGTGGTACTGTTCCTATATCATTACATGAAAGGGCACATAACAATTGATTATTGCACTTTTCGTGATACTAAGACGGATTGTTAAGTTCAGATGGTTACAGTCTTCTTATTGAAGTTTCCTATTAGTCTTCCCTGTGGGATGCTAAAAGCATTGATGATTGTTGCTTGATCCAAATATTTTATTAGGAGTTGCAAAATGATCGTTTTCTAATCATATCACTACCTCTGTATTTATTAATGGATGTTAACAGAACTTCTTGTATACCAGAACTGTTTGGTTAATTTGAAATATGCTTCATATCAGAAAAGCAGAATAAATAAGGGCAAATAATTAAGCATCACTTTTCAGAGTAATGATTTGGTGCCCTACCAAGCTACAGTGGTGTCCAGTGAATTTTGTTTGTTTTTCTCTTTTCTAAATATCATTAGGAGCTCCTGGATTTTTATATATTTAGTATGTTTTAGTTAATTTTAGTCATATTCCTTCTGCTCTCACTGTGTCTCATCTTTGGCCATTGGGAGCTCCTTTGTTGCACGTGGGTCACCGGCCAGCAGTGACCACGGAACGCTGTGGATGGCTCGACGATAAACACGCGAGAAAAAACATGCACAGAGACAAACTAGTTTCTGTGGAGAAGTAGGGACGAAATGGCCACCCCTTCTAGTGAGGAGCGCGCTGATTTACCGTCCATACCTGCTTTTATTAGGCTCATTTTGCATAATAACTCAGGTAATGTACAATACTCATTAGGGGAAGTAAGGAACAAAGAACTCTGCCGGTCTATTGAGTTGGGGGTCAAAGAGCTGTAAGGCTGAGGAACAAACTAGCTTCCTCCTAAGACCCTCCTCATTCAACTGAGAGCATTCTTGAACAAAGAAGGTTTCACAGTAATTTACATGTTCTTTCTTAGGCCTGATCACCCCGGGAAATCCGCACTTCCCAGTACCGAGCTGTACTTCCCCGTCATTGTTTCAGGCTTAGGTGGAGCGCGGGAACTAAGGCCACCGAGAGATAAGGAGATTTTCTTCCAGACGCTGAGAACTCAGACTTTGTCAAAGCCGAGGAGTGAGGGTCCATCACCCCCCTTTTGCTGCAGCCCCCCAAGTCCTTCTTTTGGGGGGCCTCCCAAAGTGATCGTGCCTGGCTTGGGTTGTTCCCCCCGTGGGGAATCTTACCCGTCTTTGGCTAACCGACCAAGCTTTTGGGGGTTCAGTTATGAACAAAGCAGCAGAAACAGCATTCCTGCCAGGAAGATAAGCTTTTGTCTCCTTGCCGGCTCACGGTTCCAAGGGCGTTCCCTTAGCCTTAGCTAGGTGGGGGTTTCAGCTTCTAATACCAGTCAGGGCGGTTCCCAACACTCCTTCAAGCTGGCTCCTGTGTCCTTTTGATACAACCCCATCAGCCTTTGAAAGCCTCACTGCTTTTGGCTCAGTAAGATATTCCAGGTTGATCTTACCTATTTCTTGTCTCAGATATAGAATCATCCATTTTCCTGAGGAAAGGTTCCCTAACTACCTTTTCTTTGCTCAACACCTGTCTTGATCTACACACTTGATACTGAAAAACTCACTTTAATTTGTTCTCTATATTTAATTGTATAACTGACTTTTGATATATCCTCCCTTTTCTGTATTTGTTGCCTATATTAAATCACAAACCCTCAGTTATTTTGGTGCCCAGTGTAGTGTGATCTTTTCTTTCATTGTTGTACCTTGCTATGTGGCACATGACTACATTCCTCTTAGTATTTCACTACTTACTACTTCATCCCTCTCTGTGTTCTGTATTTATTTAGTGGGTTTATGTCTTTTTCCAAGAAATTTGTAATTTTATGGGGGTCAGGACTTCTCCATTACTATAGGATATACAAAGCAAAACTATTAAGAATATAGTGATAGCTGAATAAACATTAATGGAATTGAAGGGCTTATTGGGTTGGCCAAAATGTCCATTTAGTTTTTTCTGTGAAAAAAAGAGACACATTTTTCATTATCACCAATAACTTTGTTGATTTGGATATTCTGAGTATGTTGGCTATCTCCCGCTATTGGCTTCTAGTGGGTAGAGGCCAGGGGTGCTGCTAAACATCTTCCAATGCATAAGACAGCTCCACAGCAAAGAGTTATTTGGCCAAAATGTCAGTAATACCAAGAAACTTTGCAAACCACTTTTGACACATTTGCTTAGTCAGAGGACCTCCTCCACACACTACACAAATCTTTTGTTGCATTTCATTTGCATTTTTACCTTTCTTGAAATAATAAAGCATAATACACTAAAAATGTTACATATTTTCTTTCATCTTCAGTATTAAAATGGCTGCACAGAAATTCACCAATTTTGATATTTTTTTAAATGTGTGCTGATATGACAGCTGTCACAATACAATATAACAAAATCATTTCAAATGAAGTTAAAGATGACTAAGCATTACAGCCATCATACAGAAAAAACTAAATGAACTTTTGGCCAACCCAATAATTTGCCTGGCTTACTTATGGCCATGTTTGCACACAATTTGACACTGGTAGTGCCAATGCTACATTTAGATCCAGAATTTAATGTATAGGTGATTTAAAAGTCTACAAATTAATGTATGGGAAAGGAAGCATAAATATTTTATTCAGAGACTGAAAAAAATAAACACTCGGTCACTGGATTTAGAATGTAGGGTTTTTTTTGTTTGTTTTTGTTTTTGTTTTTTGCCCTGGCTGGTATTGCTCAGTGGATTGAGTGCCAGCCTGCAAACCAAAGGGTAACCATTGGGCCAGGTCCCCAGTGGGTGGCGCATGAGAGGCAACCACACCCTGATATTTCTCTCCCTCCCTTTCTCCCTCTCTTCCCCTCTGTCTAAACATAAATAAATACAATCTTTTTTTAAAAGAAGGTAGTTATTTAAGGCACACTCAAGAAAAAAGATTTCACATGGTCTTTACTTTGTGTGCATGGCCTCAATTCCTACTTGGCTTTGCTTCATTATTGGTGGCTCAGAACTTGGCTGGTAAGTAGGAAATTTGGAAGCAAGGCTGGCTGTCTAGCAAAACCTACTTATGTTGATTTGAATTGCTTTTTTATTATTTCATTTTTGTCAACTATTTTTTGTACTGGTAAATGGGTGGGCTTTTTATGGTTTTTATAGATGGATGAAAGCCAGAAAAGCCCGACTATTTACAACTCTTAAAAATGTGATAGTCTTATAGTATTAACAGCACTGAAGTTACTCATCATGTGATGAGACTATCTGTTAATTTGTTTTATGATTAGAGTAGGAAGAAGTAGCTGAAGCGATGTGTCCCATCTATCTACTTTCTTCTTCCTTTTCTCTTACCTCCAAAAAAATAAGGCTAGAGATTCTTAAAGGAAGAATAAAAAGATTAATTTTAGCATAGATTTGTATTCTTGATAAGCCAACACTTCTTCTGTTTCCTTATAGGTCCTGTTATTGCCTTGGAATTTAATGGAGATGGTGTTGTAGAAGAATGTCAAATTGTTGTTAACAAGATATTTGGGGAGACCAAGGTACACAATTTCATTGACTATATTTTTTTTAGGTTCTTCCTGAGCTGAGTTCAGCATGACTCAGCATTGCTGCTCTCCTGGTCACTGGTCTATACACCCCTTGAAGACCCCAGATACTAACCTGGCCCTGCATTCTACTGGTCAGGGGCCACCCTGCCTGGGCTACTTGGAGGGGCTCTACTGCAAAGCAAGCCAACCTCTCCCCTGCCACTCCAACCTGCTGGCAGCCTCCATTAGGGCACTTACATAGGGTCAAGTTCCTGCCCCCCCCACCCCACAATAACAGGGTTCTCCTTGAAGGCTGAGTCCTGGTTTGAGCCAGCTGCATCTCCTGAATCCCAGCCTGGACCTGGCACACTTTAAAATGTACTTTGGTTGAAGACAGATCCCATCCACAGGTCCCCAGAATCCAGGGCTTCTCTTTGTGACCTACAAGGAACAGGTATCAGGCAAGGCAGGGATAGCTTCAGAGAGACTGCTTCAGAGCCAGAGTCAATTTCTAGCATCTCTGGCTACTTTCAAATCAGTATCCAGGAAATTCAGCCTGAAAGAGATCCCAAAGCTCACCTCTTCCAATATCAGCTACCAGAAAAACAGTAGACCCCTGACATAGCCACAAGGTATTTCAAGGGTCCCAGAGTCTTTCTCAAGGTTTTCTCCAAGACTTCTTACCTCTGAGAAAAAGATCCTAGTAGACTTCCAGAAACATGCCTCTGCCCCACTCCAAGGGGTGAACCCCTAAGGGTCTGGGTCCTTTTAATCTTGCATATCAATTCAAGGGCCTAAAGATCTCCCCCAGGAAGTTTTCAGAAAAATAGGGACCTCCATGGTGAACATTAAGGCAACAGAAATGCCCCCACCTCTGAGCGAACCCCAGGGCTCCCCTCTAACCCATCTTCCAGAGACATCCCCAAGGTTCCAGAAAGATGTCATTGTTTTCCAAACTTACCAATGATCTAGGAACCCCTCACCTCCCAAAGCAAACCCCAGTAATCTAGAGGCCTCTGCACCTCAGAGGAACCCCCAGGGCTTCAGAAAAGTCCATGCTTTCAGAGACAACCTCAGAATCCAACCTATTCCTGAGACATCTCCAGGACCCCAGGATCATCAACTTCTAGGGCTCCCAGTATCACCTTTAATCTTCCACCTACTATTGAGACCTCTAGAATTCCTTGACTACCCAGGATCAGCCCTAGAGCCTTTATCCCCTGAAACTCCCACCTCCTAATACTCCATTTCACAACAGCCTGGAGCTACAGGCTAGACTTCTCTACCCCCTGTGGGGGTGGGGTCTGAGATCCACTATATTTCAGTCAAACCTTTTCATTTCCTTTCCCCTACAATCAAATAGTACTTTTTAGTCCTAGAGTTGCATGGAATTTTTAAAAAGATCATGATTTTTAGAACCTATGGTAAATAATTGGGAGTTAAGTTTTGGTTTTTCCTTGCCAAACTAAAATATTAATTGCTTAAAAATTTTCAAAATAAGAATGTACTTATTAAAACATTCAATAACACTTGTTTCTAAAGTAAAAAGTCTCATCATGTGTATTCAAGGCCCTCCTTTTAAAAAAGTAGAGAATGAGATATTGAAACAATAGAGAATGATGTATTGAATGATATACAGATGGTTTGACTTAATGATTTTTCTACTTTAAGTAATAGGCATTCAGTAGGAACCATACTTCTGATATGCTGTAGCTTACTCTCTCATAAACTGGGCAGCTACAAGGAGCCACAGCTCTCAGTCAGGTCTGACATCACAAGGGTAAACAACCACTCCTCTACAGTATATTCATTGTGTTAGGTGATTGTGCCCAGCTATAGGCGAATATAGGTGTTTTGAGCACATTTATGGTAGGCTAGGCTATGCTATGATGTTCAGTAGGGTAGGTGTTATTAAATGCATTTTCAGTGTATGATATTTTAAATTTATGATGGGTTTATTGGAACATAATCCCATTATAAGTCAAGGAGCATCTGTATTTCTAACATTATGTACTTCAGACAGATGATCCCATTGCCTAGTGTTAATGTTTATTTGTTTCAGTAATGCTTCCTCAAAAATTGAACTTGTGCTTTATCTAAAAATCATCACGTACAGATTTTTTAGATACATTGATGAGGTTGCTATATTTAAGAATTTCAGACTTAATATAATGCAAACATATAAGAGAGTTAATCAGTATATATATATATAACTAATTATTTTTTGATAAATATATGAGAGGGAATTTTTGGTTTTATATTCTGATTTTGCTTGTGGTTCCTTGAATTTGCATAATTTAAAATATTTTATCTTTTATCTCATTTTATCATCACGTAAGGGTGAGGCCAAATATAATCAGATTGAATAGAAAAGGAAACAGAGAAAGTGGTATATAATATGATCTGGTGTTTTCTAGATCTGAATAAATTAAGATTACCTAATCCAACTTTCTCATTTTACAGATGTAGAAATTGAGCCCAGAGAGGTTTATTAAATTTTTAGCATCATACAGCTAATTTATGATAAGGCTCAAATAGAACTCAGGTCTCCTCTATTTCCTGGCTGACATTTGTAAAAGCTAATTTTGAAGTGTTCTATTTAGTATTGCTTTATTGTTGTTCAGAAAATAGTTCATTTTAAATTAGTAATACGTCTTGAGAGCTTTAAAATAACGTAATCTCAAGATTTGCTTCTCAGCCTACTGAGACTGTTTCTAGAAAATAGAAGAAACTAAGAGTTCTTTAAATAAACTTCTTTATTCATTAGCTTTCATAATATTGTCTGTTGTATATTGAAAAACTGTAAAATTCCAAGTATAATAAAAGTGAAGTATTATGAAAGCAAAGACCTTCTTTTCATCATAAGTGCTTTTAAAGGAACTCCATTTACATTATAAAATCTATACATTAAATACTATAAATGATATACATGAATTTCTTTTAATAGCAAGCTTATGACTTTGTTTTGTGGTGAACATGGGCTTTGGAATTTGGGGATTACTACTATTTATTTTTGTTTCTTTTATATTTAAAATAGACGTTTGTATCAGAAAACAGGGAGACAGCATCTAGAGATGTAGAAAGCTTCTACAACTTTGCTGATATACAGATGGGAATCTGAAGTGCATCGTGGAACCAGGGACTTGGTATTAAGCCCTTTTCAATTTGTGTATTAGCAATGGCTTTTACTAAGGCTAAAATTGTTAAAGCTGATTCTTCAATATATTGTTGAATACTGCATCATTTACTTAAGGTTCAAAAATAGTTCATTTTAAATTAAGTATTTAATCAGTGTAAAACTATTTAACCTACTTTGATAAGCTTGTAGTTTTGATTCTCTGCATATGATACTGTTACTAGAAAACAGAAGTGGCTAGGAGTTCATGATTTTAATCCTAATTAAACATTCTTTCAAATCTCTAATTTAAACTTTCCTCAGTGTTCAATGATATTTGTTTAAGAATGCATACCATTACTTATTTTCTAATTTAGAGGGATTTGTTACTAGCTGATCAATTAGAATGAACTTCTGTACGTTTTTTCATGTATACATATCCAGTTAAAGAATTGCTTCCTATTTGCATAATATGGAAAATGACATTTTGTACACAGACTTGACAGTACTTTGTAAATTGAATTTTTTAATTAATAGGTATTTGATAACTGATTTTGCAACTAACTCTACTAACTGATGTTGGTATAGCTGTTTAAAGACTGCTTTTTGAGTAGTATGATTATTTGAGTAATTTCCCCCCTGTTTAGTTTTTTAATACAATTGCTAGATGACTCTTGTGCTTCCTGGTAAGAAAAGGCATATGCAGCAAAGGCATATGCATAAAAGCCCATTACCAGCAGTTTTCAAGAAGGTTATTATTTAAGTTTTATCAGCTCTTGTGGGATATTAGGAGAATCAGAGCAAAACCTTGTGATATTTAGGTTAAGAAGTTCTTAGGAATAAGTTATGCAGATTAAAAAGCTAGATAAATTTGATTTTTATTAGATACACCACTCTTATCAAGTAATGTTCAAGCAAGACAAAATTATTTTTATTGCTTTAAAACATTATTTTCCAAATCAGCCTACCATAATAATTTACCAGGAAGCAGGGGACAGCTACTTGTTTAAAAGTCCAATTATTGGACTCAATCTGCAGGTGTGCTAATTCAGCCTCCAGGGAAAACTCTGTTTTAAGGGGTTTGTTATAATCTGAAGTAATCAGTTCAGAAGATTTTGAGAGGTTGATCTTGTGTAAAGTGACTGAACCCATTTACATCTCATATAATAGGAAATTAGCTTTTATAGATCTATTTTTTAAAAACTTTAATAATATTTTGATGAAACTAAGATTGAAAATAACCACTTGTAAAAATTCCTCTTATGATTATTGTTACTAAAAATGTATTTTCATGTTTAAACTGCTCTTTGGATATTTTCATATTAATTTATAACTACTACATTGAGTTGTGTGTTGATGTCCAGAAATAATACATTAAAAGACTTTTCACTTTAAATTAGTAATATTGACCACTTACCCTGTGCCTGGCCTTGTGCTAATCATTAGCATGAGTAATTTATATATACTACATAGTCAACCTCTCCTTTGAATCAAAACAATTTCATAAGATGCAAAGAAAAATTGGTAACAGGTTTAATATAATTTTTATCATAATTTACAAATGAGCTTTGCAAGTAGTGGTCAGAGGGCATTAATTTTTCCCATAGTTAAGCTAAATTAAACATGTTCCTTCTAGTTATGATTATATTATTAAACCCCTTTATTCACACTTAATCACAGTACTTTCTGTTTTTATGCAAAGCTATAAATTCGGTTCTTTTATTTTATCTATGGTATTTTGGCAAAGACTCAGGAATATAATATATAAGGGAGATGTTAATTTAATTTCAGTTTCCACTAAATTTAGTATCAACCAAAGCCTCAAATTTTATAATCTTCAGTTAGATAAGAGCTTTTACCCAAACCAAATTTGTCTTTAATGATAGTCATTTGGCTTCTGAATGTTTGAAAAGATTTTTAAAAATAAGTAGTGCTATGGTTATTGTTTCTATAATTCTAAACGTTGATAGTAATTATAGTATACTACATTTCATTTCTGAATAGCTTTTGAATTCATGAAAAATTAGTAATTTTGAAGTTATACATGTATAAGCATTATATTAGCTTATTTCTCTTGTGTTGATATGTTTTAGTACCATTTTTGCTTCTGTATATTTATGTGCAGTTTTTGTATGTAATTTATCTAATGTTTATAAAATGTGATTTGTAATAAATGTTGTTAAAATGAAAATGGCTTAGCACTAATTTTTTAAGATAATTTCTATAACATACATGATCATGACACAAGTTTTTAATGCTAAAAGTAAAATGAAATGTTCTAATGTCTTAGGTTGATGAGAAGTGAGCTGAGTGTGTATGTGTATGTACACAAAGCACTGGAGAAATGCAAAGGAAGTAGAAAACCTGTTTGAATCTAGGGAGTTATGATTGAATACTTACTAAGATTAAACATCTTTCTCTTCCATATTTAAGAAAACAATAAATTGTTTGTGATATGCTTTCTTTTTTAAAAAGCATTATGTATTCATCACCCCAAGTCTTCTGTCACCATTTATCCCCCCTTTACACTCTGTCACCACCTCCTGTGATATACTTTCTTTCAGGTTTATACAAATGGACTTTATTTTTAAATTACTACCAAATTTACCAGGCTTTTATAACCAACTTCTCCCTCTCTTAGTTCATAAATCAGAAGTGTTGAAACTGCAGATTAGTTAGTTTTAAAATAACATTTATTATCATTATTTCTATGTCTAAAGCTTCTACATTTATTATCATTATTTTTATGTCTAAAGCTTCTACATATACATGTAGAGCGTTTTTGGGAAAAACATAAGTGCGCAAGACAGTAGCTAAAAATATTTTGTATTTATTGGATAATTGTTGCTGTTCGGAGTTTAAAATTTGCTTTTCTCATTTAAAAGGGGTACATTTAACTCTGTTCTCTATAGGAAGAGAAGATATTGTGATTAGGGTGTGATTACTCGTTCAAAGTCCATTCTAGAAAAGACTTTATCCTTTAAAAGTATAAGACTAAAAGTGCCAAACTTCATTTGAATTTTAGTAATGAAAACCTTTTTTTGTGTGTGAAAATGGAGCCATTCACTGTTGACTTGGGTTTTTTTGTTTTGTTTTGTTTTGTTTTTTTGGTAAATACAGGCATACCTGAGGGATATTGCAGGTTTGGTTCCAGACCACTATAATAAAGCAAGTATCACAATAAAGTGAGTCATAACCTTTTTGCTGGCGGAGGATCTTGCCTTCATTTTGTAGAAAATGCAACACTTATGAAGCGCTGTAAAGCAAAGTGGAATAAATATCTGCCTGTAGAGTGTTGAGAGTGGTGGAAATTAGTCCTACTTAGGTGGGAATACAAGAAGCCATTATACAACTTCATCTCTCCTTTAACGTATTGGCTTTTAGTGGCAAACACCAGCAAGATGTTCAGAAATAGCAGTTTCTTCCTTTTCTAGTGTTTTGGTGTTTTCTGGTGAGAATGGGTTCTCACCTGAAAAATAGATGGTGAGGGAACAGGAGCACAGGTAGCAGAGAGTCCTGGCATTCTCATCTCTGCTTTTATCCTCCCTCTAGGGCCTGCCTTCCCCATTTCAGTTTAATCTGGTCCATTTGTAATGGGACTAATAAAAAGTCACTCACAAGTGATGTGACAAGTAATTAACTGATATTTGTAAATTACCTTGAAGATGAAAAGTACTTTATGATTGTTAAGTATTATTGTGCCGAGTGAAGTACAGTGTTCTCTTGAAGTAAGTCAACTGTGAAGCCATACACCACCTACAAATAGGCTACTGAATAGAAGGAAACAACTATAGGCTGTTAAGACTTGTGCTTTGTTTTCTTATTGATGTATTGTACTTTCATTTATCAAATGTAGGCCAGCTTGTTAGGTTCAGTGATAAAACCTTTTATACTCTTCCACCCTAACTTCTAAACAACTTATATATTAAGTGATTTTAAAATTTATCTCAGAGTTTATCGACTTTTAGGACTTTGGAGGGTCTGGACCTTTTCAATCCTTAATTTTGCAGATGTGAAAATTGAGGCTCAGAAAGTTAAGATGGACTGTCCAACTCACACCATAATCATTATACTATAATGCAGACCTCTTGACTTTTCCCCCTTCCCCCCTGCCATCACCCTGAGAACAACACTCAGCTCATCCAGCTCCTCCTATATAAAGCCTTTTCTAACACTAAGGTAGAATGCTGCATTTCCCCCTTGGTGCTCACACAATACTTTGTAGATTTCCGAGTACCTGTAACCCTTTATTCCATTTCTTTATCCATGCTGCCCTTGTGACTCAAAGTGTTATCTGTGTACTGTGCATCACCTACATCTCATTAGAATCTCAAGCCTCACTCCAGATCTGTTAAATAATCTACAACTTAACAAGGTAGGGGATTCATATGCACATTAGAGTGTGAGAACCTAGATCATTATTTCCTCAAGCACTGTAATCAAAGCTTAGAAATCTTTTTATTCCTACAGAGTGGCTTAGGGCCCAGTAACTTGATCTATATTTAATAAATGTTTTTGGTTGAATGACATTCTCTAGTGCTTCTTTCCACTCTAGTTGATTTTTGTCTTTTCTGTAATTGTTTTCTTCATGTACTCTCCTTGATTGGCTTTGGAATAAAAAACATTCTACAGTGTTTAGTCCCCTCCTCTCCTGTTTTGTGTTGAAATAGTAACAGCAATCTCTGCCCACTGAAGGTTCTCCCAGGGAGCTTTAAGAATATCAGTATTCACTGGAAAGAGAGAAGAGCATAGCAGTTTCTGACTTAAATTTTCTTCTGATGTGTTTTCATATTCAAGTGTGTTTTATTCAATTAGGAAACATTACATAAAGCCACAGTGGTGATTTGATGCTGGGGCTGAGTTAAAATTAAAGAGCAGTCAGCTACTTATTTTGGGCTTGTGGGGAATGTTAGTCACTTAGTCATTCTCAGATCTGTTATCCTCCCTCGTATTTATTTTAAAAAATTTTATTGAATTTATTGGGATGACATTGGTTAATAAAATTATATAGGTTTTGTCACAGGTGGACACAGGTAACAGGTTCTTGGTGATCACGGACAAAGAATTGAACCAAACTCACAGTGTATAACATAAAGAGAGAGCAGATTTGTTAAGCAATACTACACTCCACAAAACACGTGAGTGGGGCCATCTCCCAGCAGAGATTGACCTCAGGGCCTGAAGGGATTCTATTCTTATAGGGTGGATCTTTCTTGGTTAGTTTTGGTGGGCTTTTATTGTGAGTGTACAAGTAAAATTACTTTAAAGCTACTGTGCATGTGGTTTCCCATGATTTTCTTTGATTGGCCACTGGAGAAGGGGGTTGAACAATGTTAATTTATTATAATCCTATTATAATGAGGCAGGGGTCATGAAGCATCTTCTGTGGAAGTGTATTCATGAGTCACCATGATCCATTGCTTTTCCAGAAAACAGGAACAACTGGTCTTAGAACAGGGTCTCTGTCCTGTATCAATGTCCTTTATCTTAGCCCTGGGGCACCTCCAGAGTTTCCGCCTTCCTATCTCCTGCCTCAGTTTCAGGAATACAGTTCTATAACACATTATCTGTACACTGTATTGTGTGTTTATCACCCCAAGTCAAGTATCCTTCCACCACCATGTACCCTCTTTACCCTCCTCCACCTCCTTCCATCCCCATTTCCATCTGATAATCAGCATATTGTCCTCTGTGTCTATGAGATTGTCTTATTCTTTGTTTATCCTCCCTCTTTATCTCTTGACATCTTCCTACTTCTAGTGTTCAGGGGTGAGCTTGGCTGTCATCAATAAACATGTGCAGGATTGTCCAGGGAAGTGTTGTGTTGCTCCACATTTTGGGGGGAATGTGGTGACAATGGCTTTTATTTCTTTCCTGGAACAGGCTTAATTGTAAATTTAACATATGAAAGAAAAGTAAAATCCTAAATGCACACTCTACCCTTTATTTATTTTAAATAGTTTTTCCTTCAGTTTCCTCGGTATAAATATATTGAGATCTTCATATTAGACTTAATTGTAATTTCTTACTTAAAAGGTACTTCTTTGACTTCTAAGTAGTAATAATGGTAGCACTAAACCAGAATTCAGGTGGCATATGATCACTCCCTTTCCATTATTGTTTAATGGTAACAACAGGAAAAAAAGACAAAAATGTGTATAAATATGGCGCTTTGGTTTTAAAAATGAGACATTTCTGACTTGAATCTAGGCTCAGCTTCTTGAAATTAAAAAGATGCTGATCTCCTTAACATATCTTTATTCAACTATATAGTATTCCAAACCCTTTGGTGCTAATGTGTACTTGTAAAACAAACTAAATGACCAAAGGCTATGGCAATAGATTGGGCAGCATTTGAGGCCTATATTGTGTTCTTCATCTACCCTGTTCAATTTTAAATGAATGCATTTTTATGGGAATATGTTCCATTCCTCCCTCCACCTCTCAAAAGAGGTACTGTTAAACTCATTTGAAATGGCAGAAACCATTTAAGTGTAGTTGGGTTTGGGTTTTTTAATGCTGTTACATAGAGCAGCTACTTATACATCAGGCTCTGTGTTAAGCACTTTACATATACAATCTCACTTGGTCCTCTTAGCAACCCTAAGAGAGAGGCACTGCTGTCATCCCTATGTTATGATTAAGGAAATTTGAAGCTTACAGATTTTAGCTAATTTACTTATGTCCAAACAGATGCTAAATGCAGAGTCTGGACCCCAGGCTAGAAGGAGTGGTTTGACTCCAAGATCTATGCTCTTAACCACTACACTATACTGCTCAGCAATAATAATAATAATAATAATAATAATAATAATAATAATAGCAACAGTATATTGATCCCCTGCTTTAATAGGCATTATGTTAAATACTTTGCATACTTTAAGCCAGGGATGTCCAACCTGCAGTTCAGAATGACTATGAATGTGGCCCAACACAAAATCACAAATTACTTAAAACATTATGAGACCTTGTTGTGATTTCATATTGCATCGTATTTAATGTGTGGCCCAAGACAACTGTTCTTCCAGTGTGGCGCAGAGATGCCCAAAGTTTGGACACCCTTACAGCCATTTAACGTTCACATCAAATGTATGAAGATCATATTATTGTTCCCATTTTACCAGATGAAGAAATTGAAAC